TGGGGTGCAACATTTTCTCCTAGGTGCTGAGACACTTCCTCCTTCCACACCTAGGTGGGATTGATGTACCCTTAGCTGCTGACCGAGTTTTCTCGTATAATGGTGAAGTACCTCTAATTTACCTCGCTACACAGTCTAGTTTCAAGAGAAGGCCTTGTATATAAGCTGGGTGCCAAAAGGTCTCCAGACCAATTTGAAGACTAACAAGCACTGCAAGGTGCTTGCACTTTGGCAGTAGTTGCCTTTAGTAACCGTTTAGGCTAGACCCCATTCCCATTAACAAACTTGGCAAACTTTTTTGCTCTGGGTCTAGCTAGCAATAGCAGATTACTGTTTGGTGTAATTAATTGCTGTTTCCTAGGGGAATCTGGAGGGGATAATTCCATTTTCTTAATCTGGCCCCCTCTCATCAGCAAGAAGCGCTTCCCATTGGTCAGCGTGGTTAGGTGACCATGCTGACCAATGAATGCTCGCCATTTGCAAGCTTAATTCAAAATACAGAGCGCAGGGCTGTGCTGCCATGTACAGTGTATGGATAGTACACCAGCAGAAGGAAAGGAACGTTCAGCCATAAGGCAAGTAATAGCAGAGGGGGGTGGGGGAGAGATGGGGCCAGATTTGAGGGTGTAATTCCCTTTTCCCATCCATTCTCCTGGTAAAGTGGAAGTACCTTTTAACACTTGAGTATAACCACTTGAATATACTTTGGGGTAGGGTGCTCCTAAGAGCAAATGCTTCTTGGGGGTCCCAGAAGGTTAGAAAGTTTCCCAATTAGAGAGCAGAATAGAGCACTTCATTAGGGATGATCAAATATAGTATTTTGGAGCATCTCCTTCACATGAGTGAAAAAACACTGCTCTGTGTCACTTAAACCCCAAGAAAAAAATGTATATTATTTTATTATTTTTGTGAGCGTGCACTGTACATTTAGATATTAACAAGACAAAAAGAGAACACGCGGTTCCCATCACTGTATTCTTTCCAACTGCGCAAACCACCCACCAAAAAAAAAAAAATGTACCTTGAATTTGCAGAGGTCAAACAAATACAAGTATAAAAAAATTTTAAATTCCTGTGCAAGGTAAGAGCAATTTCAGGCTGAATTTAGTTCAATGTCTGGACAAATCTGTTCTAATGGAATATGTAACTCTTACATTTAAAGAAGCTCTCAGTCTGTCATGTTCACTGAGAGCCAAGTGATGTATCATTTAAATTTCTCCCCTGTGCATTATTTCCAATGTAAAAGCAGCCTCTTCCATTATAAAGGTTGTTGTTTACAAGACTGGTCAGGTCACTGAGCTGAATATAGTCTTGTCAGCATATATTTTATATACTAAAGACAATTTTGATTTTCAATGTCTCCAATATGACCTATCCAAGGTTAGAAGCAGAGGTGCATTGTATCGTTAAATGGAATATTTGTGGTGTCAGTTGATAAAAAAAAAAAAAAAGGGAACAATTTTCATGTTGTTCCAAGAAAAAATGTGAAAACATTTTCCCCAATGTCAAATACATCAAAAAGCAAAATGCGTGATTGAAAATAAAGTCTGGCAACAGCAGACATTTTCTGCCAGCCTGCCCACAGTACAACACAGGCAGCAAAGTCACTGCAAACATGTTTTAATGTTTTTGCCACAAACTTAACTATATTAATTTTTACAAAGCACCAAATAAGGAGAAAACAGGAATGTAAAGATTTTTGTGCTCACCGTAAAGTCACAGGAAGTTATATACTGTCAGGTTATAATGCCCCCTAAAAGGGGATTAGGGGACAAAAAAACACCTGTAGACCAGTTCAGGATAGCTCCCTCTAAAGTTCAGTTTGTAGCAAGGAACAAGAGCATGATCATAAACACAGAGGGGTGGAACCCATCTCCTTTAATGGACTCCAAGAAAAGGATTTTACAGTGAAACTGAATACAAAAATTCTATCTTCTTTTTCATCCATTGAGGGGCACAGGAAGTCACTCAATGGGGAAACCCAAAGCAGTCCAACTGAGGGGTGGGCACCCGCAAAGAAACAACAGCAAACAAACTGGGACTGCATGCGGCTCAGGTTGAAGACAAAGACAAGTATTTTTTTTACTTTGAGATGCCGATACCCATACTAACATGCTATGTGTGCCAGGAAAAGAGGCAGAGCTTCATGCAGTGTTATATTTATCTGCAGGTTTAGAGTCCAAGACCATGATTTACCCAGGTCTGTAGCTTTGTTGAAAAAACATTCAGAATAAAAGACAGACATTTTAAATCATAACTAATATTTTCTGTCCGGAGTTGAACTTTACAATGACAGTTTGACCATAAACAGTGCCCTGCTGCTGGAGCAGCAAGGTACAGCTTGAGAGCTAAAATAAAGTGGAGGGTTCTCCAAGCCTCAACTACAATGGCCAGCTTGCAACTAGCATAAAAAAGTCAAACCCATTACTAAAAAAAGGAGAATTCTTAAACCCTTCATGAAATGGCCGGTAAGCTGCAGTCGCTTTTGGAGCAAATACCACACACAAAGCCTCAGGAACAAAAACAGAAATAAAACCTCAACACAAACCTGTAGCCACTCACAACAGTGAGCCTTTAAGAGACCAGAACAAGAAATCTGCTACAGCTTTAGTCCAGATAACTGTAAGAGGAAACCAAATATAATGGCCTGACCTTAATGCAAAGTCCTTAATGAACTAGAAAAACCTGCGCTCACTGCCTAACTGAAGAGACTTTAAGGATTTCCAATATCAAGCATGAATCTACCGGAAACTATTGGTAGAATAAAAATATTACCATTAAAAACTAAAAAAAAACCCTAAGGTTGCTTACATTCTGACTCACTCAAGCGGTGTCCCTGGACACGTAGAATAGAGACAATAGAAAAATAACTTTTGTGAAATATATCACCAAAAGAAAGCTTTGTTCAGTGATCACTGTTTGTAAATAAATGAGGACATAGTATGTTCACTATATCCTCAGTTATGAATGAATGGGAAGTGATCTACATCACCTCCTGTTGATTCACAATTGTGAATATAGTAAACATACTTTGTCCTCATGGTATGAATGACTAGGAACACTCGGTATAGAGGATTCCTGTTCATATATAACAGCGGATGCAGGAAAAGTACTCAATCTTTTTTTCTATTTTAAAAGGGAAATATCAGGGGTCTGTTTAGAACCCCAATATTTCCCAGAAGCCGCTAAAAGTAAAACAAATGTTTAATAAAAAAAAAAAAATTTAAAATGTAAAAAGTTCAAATTTAAAAAAAAAAAAAACATTTTCTGTTTCGGCTTGACATTTTTTCATTTCAGTTTTGAAATTACGAAATACAGTATTACGTCTTCACATTCTTTTTCATACCTGTAAGCACTGCGAATGTTTTCTGGCGGGAATGTAATACGTTCAGTTTTTAGTATATGATGGACCAGTTCAGACAAGTGATAGCTTTTACACCGGATTAGCTCTTTAGCAGAAATCTCAACGTCACAGATAATGCGACCACAGGCTGCATTTTTCTCCGCAAAACCGCTACGGCCCTATAAATGCCAAAAGACAATTTAAAAAAAAAAAAAACATACAAAGAAATACAATACATTTGGTAGAATACCTAAATTGTAAAGTAAACCTTTGGCCAGACTATGGACATTGATATGTGTGTACACATTTTTAACAAGCTGTAAACAAGCCCTTGCCGACCTTTGGAGTTGCAGGCACCCTTGAGCAAATCATCCTGATAGTTCACAAGAGGAGCAGTGAAGTTGTTCGCTCAACAGCTCAGTTCACACTACACCCCTACCAAGCAGTACAGCTGCCTGCAGCTACAGAGATCAGTTAGGGCTTGTTTTAAATCTCACTGTCTGTTAAGAATATGTAACTATTAAAATGTACATAGCCTGGCTATATGCTCAGTATGGCAATTAAAGCCCAAATGAAACCTGTGTAATGTAGTCAGGATGCATAAACGGTAAGGAATGCAAGCTCCGACTGTAATTTTTATGTTAAAAATAGTCTTCTGCTGCATTTAGAGTTACAACGCACTGTATTAGCAGCAAGCTGGAGATGAGAACCAGTGTCAACACAGAAGCAGCAGTGCAGGTCTCCAGTGTTTATAAACGACCCCTTGCACAATGTTCCAATCAACAGCGTTGCTTAGGGAGAATGAGCACGGTTGATTAGAGAACTGTGCAGGGGCATGTTGGACTACTGAAGACCTGGTCTGCTCCAGACCTCCAGCATGATGCCAGCACAGGGCCTTTTAACCCTAGATGTAGCAAGTTAGTACACTACATAATAAATTACACCCATATCCATTACAGTTTATGCAATAAGTTGATGTACTGGAGATGAAATCCAATTGCAGCCACAGCAGAAACCTACATTTTTCTAACTGGAGGGGTAGACAGCAAGTGTTTAAATTTTAGATGAAAGTGGAGAAAGCCACATTTTAAATGCTTATATTGTAATAGGTACTTCCTACCATAACTTGAAGCATTGCCTTATGTAACAGTATATTAAATGTATAAAATTACCAAAAACAATGACCACGCCAGTAAACAATCCCTGCGAAAACTTACCCCAAGCTTCGGCATAGTTGATCGTCTTAGTCGCCCTATCTTGGACCAGAATGGAACTTTACATAAATTAATCCTTTGAAGCAGGACTTCCAAGTCAAAACCATATATATCATGACCCTAGGAAAAAAAATACATGACAGTAGAATAAAAAAAAAAATGTGGAAAAAAAAGAAAATGCTATATACTAGGGATGCACCAATACAGAAAACTAGTGTCGGTATCAGTGCCGATACCGAGTACTCGCCCAAATACTGAGATACTTACCCCTGATACCGGAACTTCCGGTCAAAGGGAGATCTCCTCTGACTGGCAGTGCCGCGAGGGACCGTGGAGCCAGCTTCCTGGCCAGTCAGGAAGCGGGAAGCCGGCTTATCAGCATCGAGCTGGCTTCCTGACCAATCAGGAAAAGTTGGGATTTACCTGTGTACCCATTAAAGTAGGGATGCATCGATACCGTTTTTTGGTTTCGAGTACAAATATTTTTATATTTCGGTACTTATATTTTCAATACCAGTTCTTGCGCTATCATGGAGCTGGCTTTCTGTGCAATCAGGAAGCGGTGTGTCATTACCTGCTGCCCGGCTTGATTGCCCAGGAAGCCAGCTCCATGCTGATTGGCTGGGAAGACGGCTTCCTGGCCAATCGGCATCGGAAGCCGGCTCAATGTTCCCTTGTGGCACTGCAGGTCAGAGGAAATCGCCCTCTAACCGGAAGTTCCGGTATATGAGGTAAGTATCGCGTATTTGGGCCAGTAGGAGTACTCGCCAAAATAATCGGCACATCACTACATTAAAGTAAATATTTTTGATTCCAACATTATAGTGGAATTTATTAGCATATACTTTACCTGATAATGAAAAAGCTTTTCAAAGCTGCTAAAGCAAAATTAGGACGTTTACACTCACCACTATGACATCTGGGTCAATTTTGTGTACTTTTGCAAGGAAAAAGCCTAGAAGAGTCCTTTCTGTCAAAGCAATTTCAATGTGTGCATTCTAAAAGAAAAAATGCATAGATGGTGAAGTTCCATTTGTGAACAGGCCTCTGTAATGATTTTTGAATGTCAGCTCAAGAATTTAGGGGACAAACATGAAAGGAGGAGGATTACCTTTCGTTTCATTGCTTCTTTGTGATCATAGGGGAAGATGCAGTCACTTGGTTTAGTAAGAACTTAAGGGGGGAAAAAAAAAGAAAAAAAAACTAAACGTTTCCAGTTTATCAAAGTGTTTTTGTTTTACTCCCTATCTTAATATAAGCCTATGAGTCAGCACAGACCCTTACAGATTCCCAGAATATCTAATTTGTTGGTCCTGTCATTTTTTGCAAGGAGCGGACTGTGCTGACTAGCCAGCAATCACCAGCAGTTGAATTTACAAATCTGTACACAGTTTTTTCAAAATGAGGCACAGGCAGCAAGTAAAAAAGGATAATAAATATGAAAAAATAAGTCATATTTGCTCTCCCTAAATTTAAATGACAAAATAGAACTATAGGCTTCAAATGCAGCCAGGCACAATGCAAACATTTTAAGAAAAAAAAACTCCACACACAAAAGACACCAGCACACAGTATGATACTGTCTGAGCAGTCCTAAAAAGTCTCAGTTGTCTACATCGTACATTTGTATACATTTTATATTTTGAGGATTGCAGTGAGGCTGAACAGGATACTTTCTTTCAGATATATTACACAAGTCACACAATGACAGATATAAAATAAGAATTAGTGCTTAGCAGAGAAGCTACAGATTAAAAATCAAACAGCCTACCACAAAAGTGAGTCTGGAATGGCGGATGAGGTGGTGCTTTATCAAGGGGGAATTTGTAATGAACCAGAGCAGCCAAAGCAACAATCTGCAAAAAAAAAATTGCAAACCATAAGGTCACAGAAAAAAATATACAACAGAACAAAGCTTTCATATCTGGATAGCAGACTAGACGTAAAAGTTGTACAGCAACGTCACAATTTTTGTCAGGCGCCCAGCTGTCTTGCATAAATGTCTGTGTCTAATGCTTGATACTAACAATTCCATCACATATATGTTCTATATTGTACTGAATATTTGGTGTAGGTCAGCTACATTTTTACAACATTGCTGCACTGACAGCCTATATTCCTAACTCCAAATGTATATGCCTTTAAAAAACAAATCCTGAAAAATATGCGTGCCTTTATTTTAACAGGATATTGAAGTGACAAAAACACATTTATTAAAACTGGTAAATATGTCAGAGCCTAACGTAGGGCTACAGAGGCCTTACTCTAAATATACCTCATTTTGATGAGTCTTTGGATTCTGGACAGTCTTCATACTAAGAGACATGACAATGATTGGAGGTGGTGACTGATGCTTCACAACATTCACTTGATCAGGCTTTGAGACCGCCACTTCAACCTTACACCAGCTAATAGGTTGATTGTTCAGTTCTTAAAAAAATAAAACAAAAATAAAATGCTGGATATACCGTATTTGCCGGCGTATAAGGCGACTGGGTGTATAAGACGACCCCCTAATTTTCCACTTAAAACATAGGTTTTGGGCTATACTCGTCATATAAGACTACCCCACTTCCGAGGCAACACCATTTAAAAACATCATGGATGGATGTGCGGTAGCTTCAGCTACATACAGTATACCGCGCTGAGCAATCTATTCTATTATTGAATACAAAGCTTGCTTGGATTGGCAGAGGTTGTGTACATCGCTCGCCGTGATTAGCTCAGCTACTGTATGTAGTCGAAGCTACCGTACATACAGTATTAACGCACATCCAGCGGGCTGACAGATTAGGGATGTTCGTTTTGGGCTAGCTTGGCCTAAACTAACTACAGGTATACCTCACGTATAAGATGACCCCCGATTTTCGGGGGGATGTTTTTAAGTATAAAAAGTAGTCTTATACGCCGGCAAATACAGTATGTTGTTTAGAATTTCATTCAAAACCTGTTTTTCAGATCATTCATTTGATTTTCTAACAGGTAATGAGGTCAAATCAACAATTGGTTTCAACAAACTATAGTGACAAAGTACACTTTTTTTTTCCGAGTGAACAAAAAGAGTGAATGCAGTTTACGTCAGGGAAGTTAAAACCAAACAAAATTGCGAACATTCATCAAGTCTCTGATAGCATCATCAAATGTTCTGATTTCTCAGTACAAACTTCTGTGTACACCTAGCTTAATGGGTATCTCCACTTAAAAAACACAACATAGTGTGTGTGTATAT